ACTGATAGAGATTATTGATGTAACAGTAGCAGGAAAAATCCAAATTATTGTACATTATTTATACCTGAAGCTCAGACTCTAAGAAGCTAAGTATTACTCCTGGGATAATTCCTCTTATTCCACCCCCATCAATGCTAAGAATGGTGATAACATTCCCATAAGTTGGAGGTTGTAAAAATGACACAGTTTTTTCCATGAAAGATTTGGAAAAGTATACCCACAAACAATAGAAAACGATAGAGAGGAAAGGAGAGAGTTTTTTTTGTTGTTGAAATGGGAGGAAAGGAGAGAGATATTGAAGTTGTAAGAACTTGCAAAAGAGAAATGAATTGAAAAAAGGAGAGAGATTGAAGTTGTAGAACCTTGCAAAAGAAATGAAGTACTAAAAGCTTGATTGCTCTTTTGATTAGGTGAGGCTATTTATAGGCTGTTCTTTGTCTTTATAACGTCAACAAAGTCAATAGAGTGTCCCGTTGTCTTGACTGTGAACAAGTCAGGCCATAGAAACGTGACCAAGCTTGGGGACTTTGAACTTTCTAACTTATTGAGTTCCAGAATATGGCGACTTAGTCATCATGTAGGGTTAGTAGTATAACCAAGAAGATCATAGGAAAGATAACTAAGTTCAAGTGAAAAAGTTTATGATGATAGAAATAAAGTTGCATATTAATTTGAAAAACCTTGTTTCTAATTCACTTGCAAATCTACAATTATTCCTAACAGTAGCATATCGCGGATGCAAGTACATGTTCACTATAATGGTGATACCACATCTATTAGAGTTTATCACATATTAGTAAAACAACACGTAATATATGATATGTGAGAATCTTTTCATTCCTAGAAGATTGATTTTGAATTAATTAGGTTAACATGGTAAATGACTACATGAAACTTTAGGGTAAGTCTTTCATCGTGATTGATTCACCCTTTATTATTGTTATGAGTACTTTTTGTTATATCTTTAACATGTACATTGGACAATCAGTCTATCTTTCACATGCAAGTGATAATTATATGTAAAGAGTGTTAGAGTTTGTTTTACATAAATATATATATGATGTACATCAAAGATGGAAAATCGACGCAAACTATTCACTACATGCATGTGGAGGCTTTGCTATATATATACGGGATATTTTATTATTAAAACTATAGTATCATGGTTCTTTAATAGCACGGTAATAGATATTTACTCCGCAGCCGGGGAGGCAAACGGGAGATAAATATGAAGAAGTCTACAATTATTTGGCCCAGCATTAGGTGGAGACAATTGCTGCCATTAAATTGGAAGACTTTGACAGATACAAAGCAAATTTAGAGATGGCTTCATTTACTACTGTTTAAACGAGCAAAATTTAACAATGAGCCAATGAATCATCAAGTAACGAGAACCTACGCTAGTTGAGGGTAATAGCAGCCTAAAATCTGGGAAATACTAGTTATACTTAATTTAAGAACTTAGTTCATTATAAATGTCAAATTGAAAATGGGTGTAATTCAATATTGGGACACATTGCTAATTTGTCAACAAATTAGGTCACACAATTAAATTCAAATAGCATTGATGTCAAAAGTATGACAAGTGATACAATCTGCTTATTAGTGCAGAAGCAATAATTACAAAGGGGTCCTACTAGAACTCATAGCAGTGATTTACCATCAAGAAATATTGAAAAAAAATGTATTTGAGGGATTCCAAATTTGATAAAAGGTTCAGATTCAGCAATGTCAAGGTTCGTGTTTGGACTATATTCAAGCATCAAGAAAAGCAAGAATAATTCCATGAATTGTCCCTCTAATGCCGCCACCATTAATGCTAATTAAGCATTTTGATTAAATCTCCACTTGTTACAGACTCATCTTGGAAAAGGGTTGAACTTTTCTCCATTGAAGGAAACAGCTCTGCACATCAACAGAAGAATAGAAGTTTCTAATTATTAAAAAATCACAGAAGGGGTTTATTTTACAGGTCTAACGAGTCACTATATGGTCACCACAATAATAATTACTAAATAAATAAACTTAGTAGTAAAATCCATCAGTACATATAAAAAAAAAATTTCAAAAAAAATACAGAGTTTAATAACTTTTCATGTGTAGTGTCTATTAGAGCCCATGGACACTGTTTATGTGACTGTTCACGTGATGCACCTGCTGCTGGACATGGACTCTGTTCACGTGATGCAGCCCCTACAGTTGGACTCTGTTCACATGATGCAGCACCTGCTGCACTTAGTCATGTAAATACTGCACATGATCTCAACACAAAGCATGGAGAAGATAAGGATAGTGATGCTAGAGATATCTCAAGTGATAAAGATAAAGAGACGTGAAAGACTTTTACAGTTATGGAGAATTGGCAGACTTTTACATATCAAAACAAAATGGAGATTGAAAAATTCGACCTAGCTACCTTGTTGGAAGACTTTTACAGTTATGGAGACTTGGAAGACTTATACAGTTATGGAGACTTGGAAGGTATAGCGGCCAATTGATGTTACCTTAATAAATACAATACCAGCAATGTTATTAGGATCTAAAAATTTGACATAATTCACTATGATTTTTAGATTGACTGTAAGCCCCATCAAACATTGAAACTTAGTATTGATCCAATGATTCTTATTAAATCACATCATTATGTCAACAAATTAGATTAAATTTTTAGGTCCAAATAGTATTACTCAATGCAAAATTCAATACTCTGATGATAGAGAAGGTTCACGGTTTCTAATCTCGTTTTTGTCGAATTTAGTTTTCTACGGTATATATGAACATCTTTGATTAGATGAAGACAGATATATAAAAAATGTGTCGAGAGAGATATTTCTAGATAGTTAGTATTTACTTGACAAGTATTAAGTAGGAAGAAAATCATAAAATACATACAAATCATGATTTTATGCAGAGTTTTTTCAATGATTTTATGCTGAATTGCATTGAAATCATAGTATACCTGAGGTTCCGATTCAAGAAAACCAAGAATAATTCCAGGAATTATCCCTCTAATGCCACCACCATCAATGCTAAGTATTTTGATTAAATCTCCACATGACTCATCTTGAAAAAGGGTTGAACTTTTATCCATTGAACAACACAGCTCCGGTACTAATTATAAGTGGTGATAAAATGCTAAAATTTTTGGATTGTATGAATAATCCAAGGTGTTCCTCCTTAATTACATAACACCAAATTCTAATGTTTGATGGGTCTCAAAATCAATCCAAAGATCACAATGAATTAAGTCAATAAATTAAGTTAGGTCTAATAGCATTGCTCTTAATTAAAGCCAGTTTCCTAAAGCCACCCAATCATTAACAACGAGAAGCAAAAGATAAAGCGACATTATCATGGTAACCGGAAGCTTGATTTGGCAAAAGTTTAGGTGCATTTGAAACGAGCTTATTTGATGTAGTTAAGAACCATGGGAACAGTTATGGAACTTTTTCAACTTGTTTTTATAAAAGTGGAGTCGTTTTAAGGAACACACAGGTCCCTATATTCAATGTGTGGTTTCAAGAAAGAAATTACTAGTGTAATTAGTGACATTTACCTATTATTAGAGAAGAGAATGAGTCAAAAAGTATACATATTGTATATCAATTGAGCAAATTGGAAATAAATTTGAGTAAAAAATTAAAATTATTTGAGTTGCGCCGAGCGAACTTAAGTTGAGTAACACAATGCTTAGATTCGACACGTGTATAAAACAAATTTAAAATTTTAATTAGATTTCATTCATTTTTACTTACATATTTGTTTCTTTCACTTATCTGATATCATCCTTAGTCCTATCATCTTGTTGTTCTCTATAATTAAGAATATAAACTTAAAAAAAAAAACGTTTAAATCGCATGTATTGTACTAATTAATTGAGCTTATCGATGTTATCAAGTTGATCAGATCTGCACGTCGCTTACAAATTCTTACATGCAAAATACATTGAAAACATTAAACAACATGTGTTATATATATAAAGTATCACATGAATGGTTAGATCTCTAAAACAGTTATTTATGCGCATAATATATGATTGTGTATCTGCGCAGACATTCTTACTGGTTCTTAAAACAAGTAAATTTCATTGTCACCTGGCGTATTATATGATTTATTGTCGAATGATTCGACCGGCGTAAACGACTCATCACTTTATGGTTTATTCAAGGGTCAAACAAATAGCAGAGATAAAAACACCTTATTGCAATTTAATATTGTGAAATGAGTGACTCAAACTGTCACGGATTTGGCCGCTACTCAGTGTCAGTATGCTCCCCCCCCTCCCCCCCTATTTTCGGACACACAAGTTTTTTAATTTTTTTCCAGGTAAGTAATTCATTAAACGGGAAGAAGTACATGTATACCAAACCTGAAAAAAAAAAATCCAACTTGATCTCTTATCGCCGTTTCACTTTGATCGTAGCTATACCTTGTTCGGTAGCAAGAGATTCGGCGATAAAAGATAAATAGTTTCGATAAGAAGATTTGTAATTGCCTAAGGAAGAAGGGGAAGACAAGAATGATTGTTCGTTGTTCAACCATCCAAGTCGATATTCTTCTTTATTGGCCAATTCGAGCATTTTCTCTCACCAAAAATCCCGCGGAATAAATAACAAAATGATTCTACCTTATAATATTTTTTTGGGGTTGGCGGGCTATACCACTTTTCAGCCAAAGGTTTTAGTAAAATAGGAAGAGAAGGGGGAGGGGGGGGGGGACTTGCTATCTTCTTATTGTGATAAAGAAAAATATCAAAAAAAAGTCTAAGGTGATGCTTGGAATGAAGGATGCCCACGGCAGCTTAGATTATGCTTAATATATCTGCAGGTTTTCAACATTTATCCATACTCACCATATAGCCAATCAAAGAGATTGCAAGAATTTTCTTGCATGCTTATTGAGGGCTATAAATAGATTAACTTTGTTGGAAAACCAAACAACGAAAGCTTGAGCTCTCTGAACTTGTAGACAAAAAACAATACATTACCTTTAGTTTCAAA